TTCCAGTGCGCCACCGGGCTGGCCCGGATTTCAGTTTTTTTTTTTTTTTTTTAATGTTCTCTGCAGATTTATGTTCTATGGAGATTATGCTCTATGGAGATTCTTTGAGCCTTCTCATTTGGAGGGTGAAAGAATACATAGGAAAGAGAATTACAGATGATAGCTAAATTCTCTGAATACCAAAATTTAGTGACTGCCAGGAGGGCTTGAAAGCTTTCCTGTGGTAGAACACTAGGACTGTGGCATTCTTAAAGACATCCTGATTCACCGCACTAATGAGGGAGAGACAGCTCGATTGTCACTCCAATGTTCTGTGGCAGAGTAGAGATGGCATCGTTCTGAAGACAAGACCACATTTCTCTGTGGGAAGTTGACACGGCTCTAGATCAGATCGTGCCTCTTAACTGTACCTTAGGTTCTGCATGGTGGGTTTATCTCAGAAAAAATTAGTAACATCTGGGCTAATTCCCAAAAGTCAAGAAAGTAAGTCAGCTTTATCACCTGGTAAAATAGCTATGCCAAAGGTATAACAAATGCTTTTGAACATTTACTTTAGTGCCATGTGCTGAAAAGTTTCACAAGGATTTAGTTGTTTAAAAACTGTACATCTCTGAGTTTTATAGAAATGTTCATAGGAGCCTAACATGGTACTGGCCTTACATGATTTTACCAGAGTTTTAGGATTCTTTTTTGTTTCGATTTTGCCAAGTCACTTATGTAAAGATGTATCAGGCCTAGAAAAATATACTAAATACAAAAACACAAAAGTGACTTGGGCCGGCAACTGATTTTTTTAACATTTTATTTAAATATAATTTCACACTTACAGAGGAGCTGCTATAACAATGCTGATAACTCCCATATATCCTTTATTCACTATTTGTTTTGTTTTTCTTCATTACTTTGTCACTCTCATTCTCTATATGCATACATTTTTTCTTGAGACAAATTTGAGCATAATTTTTAGACATCATGTCCTTTTGCCCCCAAATACTTCAATGTGATTTTCTAAAAATAACATAATTCTTGCACAAAACCACAGGACAACGATCTAATTCAGGAAATTTAACATTGACAAAATACTAATAACTAATAGGTGATTATTTACAATTTTCTCTGTGTCCTACAGATGTTATAAATGGCATTTTCCTTCATGATCCAAAAATTAATGCAGGGTCATGTATTGCATTTAAATATCCTCACTTCCTTTGGTCTTACTATTCCTTAATAATGGGGATGCAAGTTGTAAATACCCCTAATATTCAGTCCAGTTAGCACT